ACACCTAAACGCACACGTCTTCCCATTAGGGCTGAAAGGGCCTCAACCACTCCTCCCCTGGAGACAGCTTCCCTGTATAATACAAATATAACCTAGTCTCGAGGCATTGATTGCTTCCAAAGTGAGGAAGGATTAACCCCATTGTGTGCAAAATCAATCTCTGCCCTACAAGACTCCTCAATTATCTCTACGTCAATTTTCTGCACGGTGAGGAGTTGCCTCTTTGTTTATGTACTGACAAGAAAAGGAAAACTTTTTGTTTCAACTCCATTCTTGCACACATTAGCATTCAAGACCAAATCACATTGCTTGTTGCTTTCAATGGAATAAATGTGACTCTCCTCGACGGTGCCTAGACATTCCACTCCCGATTTAAGGCCACACATATATTGCAACTTCCACACTCGATATACCAAAACAATCCACACTCATACCAATTATTTACATCGCTGTTGTTGTCATGTGGCACGAGTCTCCAATAATATAAAGATTTCATATTGAAGCACTCGACCGAATCTTACGTGACATTTGTTAATTTAGTCAACTTTTTAGCAACAATATCCTCATACTCAATGGAAATTCTATCATATCTTACTTGTAATAACCAAAGCCATACGTGCACAAGTTGTCGATGCATGCATCAAATCATCTCCTTTATGACACCACTTTCAAACAATGCACCTCTCTTAAAACATGCATGTCCTCACCCAAACGGACACCGATGTTAATCACAACTATGCCCACTGGTTGCTTCCATTGGAAAACAATGACCTCCCAGAACCACCACACACTGCCCCTAACACAATTGGACTACCTCCTCACCTTTACTTCCATGAGGGTTCTGCTCAACTCTTTGCTTTGACATTTCCCACCTCCAAACAAAATACTGAAACCCACAATGGCTAGCTGAGCGACTCATATCAAACACCCAAGTTTATTGCCACTCTTAACTTCATCATTTTGAACCAGTTTTCTGACCCCGTTATCATTTCTGCTCACTGACACATTGCTTCCAAACAAAGAATATGTGGATATCTCTGTTGACATATTTAACACACAAGATCTCCCGTTGTACGTCCTCGATATGAAAAAGGGAACACGGTTATCCTCTTACCAAATATTGCCATTAGAACAATTTATGCAATAACACACGTCCAATTGTTAATTATATGACAAACAACCCCTTCTTGCATTCACGAGTACTGCCTACATTGCAAATCGTGCTACTCCCCCAAATACTCCTTTTCGTTACAAATCTGACAAACCCTTTTCCATGGCAGCAACAATTTGCCATCCGCCCTCTTGAGGTCAATCTGTCATACATGTTGATGTTGATCTTCAACAACACACATAAACAATTTTACGTTGCTGTCTCGCGCATTGGTCATCCCTCGCACATCCGGTTCGCACTCCCCTCTTCCCTACCCCCCACAACAAATACTTCCCACGAAGAAATCCTTGCATAGCACGCGTTCATTTTACCGACACTCCCCTACTGTAACCTTTTGCCTTTTACAACTAACACAGTTACTTCATATTCACATTCATCTTGTGTGCACGTATCTTGACAATGCCGAAAACAACAAAAAGACCTAAAACTGTACTCCGATCCTACCTCTACCAATTTGACCGAAAACACAGTGATCCCTTTTACTTTCACCGATAATCACACAACTTCTACAACATCCTCCCCAACATCAACCGTTGCTATCTCCACCGCTTCTCCATCCATTTCTGCTCAACCTTCAACTCCCCGACAATCCACTACATCTTCTTCACCTCTCTTAACAAATTCCTCTTTTCTTGAACGCCACGGTTTAGATGAGCTCACTCGAAGTCAACTCGAGATGTCGATGGCTACCACAACAACCACAATTGTCACTTCCGCAACACCTCCTGCTGCTCAACCCCCCCCTTCACAACTTTGCTACCAAACATGATACAACTCGAAGGACGACCCACAGGAAATGTTAGATGGGATGCTTGACATCACAACCATCATGCCGACACCATTGAGGACATCATTGATCAATTCTCTGGGAAGACTTCCTCCTCACAAACCACGCTGCTTTCTCTCCCTCCCTCTACATCTTTACTACATACATACAACACCTCCACTGGTTTCCGTAAAGGTCTCCTCAACTACAAACACAATAGCATCATTGACGCCCTCCACTGCTTCCGCACAACCTATACACTGCCCCCTCTTCTCCCTCGTGTCCATTAGACAGATCCTCACTAATGGCGTCCCCTTGCAGCTTATATGCACACGCCACGACTCTCATCTATGACAAGCTTGTTTCTCGCCTCGCACTCTCCATATACAACATCCCACACACCCCACACACCTGGCAATACCATTATGACCTCCTCGCTATCCATCTCGTGATTCGCAGTTTCAACTTCCTCCCTTCCATGTCTACAAGGATAACATCGTCTACATAGCTCTCTGGCTTCTACGCGCTCGAGGCTTCTCCGGCCACTCCAGATAAAAGTCAGCTGGCATGACCACTTCAAACAGAAGCACACAAAGGCGGCAACCAGCAAAGCGACGTTCTACAGCCAGCATAACAGCAAAGCCATGTTCTACAGCCAGCATAAGCACTTCAAACAGTGGCAGGCAGAACCAAGGGCAATGACCATGAAGAAAAAACAATGACAAAGGAACAGATAGATAGATAGACACATGGATATAGGGTTCAGCTTCTTGATGAGTCGGTGAAACTCCGACGAAACAGTTTGTCACAGCCCCTCGTTTGTTGTCCTCTTCTCCCTCTCTGCCTACGGTTTACTGGGCAACTCTGTTTGACAATATATATATATATATACATATAGTCAAACAAAGAACTATATATATATACATATATATATCATCAAACAGATGCACACACACACACACACACACACACACACAGACAGAGAGAGAGAGAGAGAGAGAGAGAGAGAGAGAGAGAGAGAGAGAGAGAGAGAGAGAGAGAGAGAGAGAGAAGTAACAGCCAGCAAAGCCAACCGCCAGGCAGCAATCATAAAAGCCACGATCTATGTCCAGCATAAACACTTTGAAGCCCACGCACAGACCAACAGGCGACAATCACGAAAAAATAGACAACAGTGAAGCAACAAAGAAAGAGACCGCCAGACACACCACATTCAGTCACACTGCCTAAGCATTTCAGGTGCTACAGACGTGTTTCTTTGCCTGCTGTGAGTCCACATTTGTGTTTTGTCCTCTTTTGAGTGCACTGCCTAAGCATTTCAGGTGCTACAGACGTGTTTCAGGTGCTACAGACGTGTTTCTTTGCCTGTTGTGAGTCCACTTTTGAGTGCATTCAAACACCTCCCATGTACATGACTCTGAAACTCTTCAATAGACTGCACAATGTCATTCCATTGTGTTTCCCCCCCCCTCTACTACCAACAATCCCTGCACTTTCCCCATGGATGGGATTCTCCTTTCCTCTTCTTGCCCATGGTTCTCTCTTGCATTGTATACCCCCCCCCCCCCCCCCCCGCCACTTCGCGAAGGCGGCGTCCCCCAGCGGGCCGTGCCCGCGCGCGGTCGGCAGGAAGCCGATCTCATTCTCCACCTGCGCCATTTTTTTTTTGTGCCGGTCGCCGTCATTTCACCCCCCCCCCCCCCCCCCCACACACCAACAATCCCTACCCTTTCCCCATGGATGAGATGCCCCTTCCATCTCCTCGCCCGTGGCGGGTCCGCTTTGTTGTTTTAATTTTGTTCTTTCCCTTTGTATGACAAGTGCATCAAATTGTGTGCTTATACAATTGTTGATTTTCATGTCGATTTATATCTACATGCATACTGCCCAAGTTAAAATTATCAACGTCACATTTTCTTGGCACTCCTTTCCAATTTGTTCTCCCTTTTTTATTCTTCATTCATCTGTGTTGTTGTTTTCTTCCTTGTCTTTCTGTACTCCTTTTTTGTTTTCTTCTTTGCGTTTCCTCCACGGCCATCATTTGCTATTTCTTATCTTCTCATTTTGCTCTTCCAAATTGGACTGTGTATGGATCAATTTGATGAGGCTTGGGACGCTCTCCCCTCCGTACTGAAGAATTTTGGGACGCTCTCCCCTTCATTCCAAAATATCCATAAAATGGCTCCACGAAGGCATTACTCCGGGAACGTCTATTAGCGGTTTGTCTTCAGGCCACCATCCCCAACAACATGAAGTCATCCGTCCAACAAGAAGCCGACTCCGGGGTAGTTACAATGTCTTTTTTTTTTTTTTTTAAAGGGCGACGGCCTTGAGATATTATCATTGAGCTGACCTGCCCCAAGCAATTCATTAGTTGGTTTTACTCGTCAAGTTCCATCATCTGGATTCGAACACAGCACCTGGTCTGTATTTCAACAGTTCATGGGTGTACCCACTGAGCTAGGCTCTTGTGTGGATAGTTACAATGTCTGATCTTCACCATTCCCACAGTCTGATAGAAAGGCTGCAGTGTAAGCACAAGTGCTGCAGGCTGCAGGTCTTCCACTCGAGCTGGCAAAGATGGGATGCTTTCGATGTTCTGCGAGCGCACCAGTGCGCTGTTGGCATTGCCTCATGTGCGAGCAGCCATGGAAAACACGTACGTTTCACCACTGGCATATCCATGAGCGATTCCCAAAGCCGCGGATCGTAAGTGATACATGCAAAAAACTGTAGTTGTTTCACTCATCCCCTTTGTGTTTTTTTTTTCCTGTCTGCTAGTCTAATTACATCTGCTAGTCATATTATTCATGTGGACTATGTATGATCCATTGTCGGGCGGCTGCCTGGCAACCGTAGCCTCTCTCTTGACTGCACCCTTGTTATTGTCTGTTTTCACGTGTTTGGGGGCTTCTCTGACCCTCAAGCTTTTGGCGCGGTCATTGCACTTTGTGTAGACAGGTGCTGCTGTCAGTGAATAACATGCCAAGAATCATGGTAAGATGTATCTATCTATAATAGTGGGTGGATGCAGATCAGACTCGGATACCTGGTTGTGTAATTGAATTTCTTCAATGCGATTGACACTTTCACATCTTCACATTCCGGTTCAGAGACTCCCTCCGCCCTTCCTCATTATCAACACTTCTCTCAGCATAAACTTAGCGAGAATAGCAACAGCAATGCTGTCACTGGTTTCCCGGAGCGGAGGTTGCTGCCGAGGGCAGCAGAGACTGCCATGGCAGGATTTCACGGTGAGTCGTCAAGGGGAACTTCCTCAATTGTGGTGCATGATCCTGGAGCTGCGCTAGCGCTAGTGCCCCGATGCCGCCAGACCGGCAAGGCCCGGTCCGCCGGCTAGACTGGTGCTGGGGGTAGGGAGCCCTTCGGCTGCCAGGCCTGTACGTGCGCCCAGCAGACGTGCATGGCGTTTTGACTGCCACGTGGCACGTTTTGACTGCCACGTGGCAGCTGTTGTAGGTGACGTGGGTGTTCCGTGGCGTATGGACGGGTGACGCCAGCCGTGGAATTCTTGACAGTTTGCAACAGCGGTGGCAGCTTCGAACAACAACAGAATACGGAGGTGAGAGAACTATAGGTAGGTTGGTGACGGCGGGTTTGGTTGAGCTAGAAGCCAAGGAGTGGCTTACTATCATCCAAGTGAGCACGGACCGGGTGCACCATGTGGTGGCGAAGCTGAGAGCGGTGGTTTCAGAGACGACAGTACCGTCAATTTCGTGGATCCGGAGCGAGCAGCAGAGGCTATTGGAGATTACATGGGGGTTGGAGGAGGGGCTGCCCCCCCGTCTGCGCATGCCTATAGTTGGGTCACGATTGGAGAGTCTGATGCGGAAGTATTACGATGTTCTTGACGAGGGGCAAGATCTGTGTGCTCAGCTGGGGGACCGCTGGTATGATGATGACACCGACCTCGCCATTGCTGACGCCAGCGACATCGCCAGCTGCGACAACGGCGAGCTTATCTGTACCACCGTTCATTGCAACAACAGCTACGCTAGCAGAGATAACGCCAATCTCACGTGCATCCCTGTCTGCTACAACAACAACAACAACAACAACAATACCGATAAAAGCAGTGACAACAATGACGATGACGAGGTTTGCGTGGACAAATATGGCGATAATGGCTACTTTGCCGGTGCCGCTCTCACTGGAGCCGTCGACTATAATGACAACAATGCTAATAACATGAGCACCGGTGACGGGGACAACAACATCAGTCACGAAGACAATAACAATGATTTCAACAACAACAACAGCAAAGTTGTCGGCCCTCGCGCATGCACCCAACTCAGCCAGGGCGTCAGGAATGAAGGTGGGCTTGCTGGGAAGGCTACGGTTTCATACATGCTTATCATGGTTTGAGGCTCCCTGTGTGGGTGGAATATCACAGAAGCTCTGCCATGGGATCCGGGAGGGGTCGGGGGGAAGGGTTGTGGGCAACGCTGTTGGGGAGACCTGCCAACTTCTTGCCTGCCGTACGATTCTGTGAATGTGGGATTTGCGCGAACAGGGGCGGGATAGGAAGGTGAGAGGCTAGATAACTACAACGGGGTCGCAGTGTATGTTTGGCAACATATGAGTAGGGGGTGGGATCATGCGTGTTTTGATTTGCGCTATCTGAAGCTCCTTGCAGCCTTTTATATAAATAGATTATAATAATAGATTGCCACGTGGCAGGTATGACACAGAGGTGCGATGAGTATGTGCTTGTCGCGTGGAATGCGCGATTTCGATTTGTTCCTTGTTTTGAATGCCCTTCCCTCTCACGGTCTGCTTAGTGTTGTAAGTCGTTTTCGTTGTTGACGAGGGTTTCAAGGCAAGGAGATGACGTGGTGACTGTGGTTGGGGAAACTAGATTGGTTCGGGGTCCTCCGTTGATTGAATTCTGCCGTCTGACTTTGATTACCCCTTCCCCTCATTGTGCCGTTAATTGAATTTTGCTGCCCTACTCCTCATGGTGCTGAATGACCTTTTTAGAAGAAGGTGAGGGTTGCAGATTCGGGATATATTTTTTGACTATGATGAGCAGTTAATCCCCTCGGTCGAGGGCAATCAATGCTGCTCAATAAGCTGAATGGAGCATGCCATCGTGCTGGCTTATTACTTGTCACGGACTACATTAGGATGGACACGTGGCATGTAATATGGCATTTGATTGTTTACAGGGACGCTGGACCCGTTTTCCAGCAGGTGATGCTCCCCACCAATAGATGGAGCCTCCCCGAGCTTGCTAGTGGTGACTGCTCTTATCAGCATCCCTAGCAACTACTTGGGGTGTTTCTTTAAAAAAAAGAAAATAATAATAATAATAATAATAAATAAAAACATAAAAAATAAAAAAAATTGCAACCACCTAGGCTACCAGAGTGGCCCGGGGTCACTTGCCCGGCCGGGCCAAAAACAATTAAAAAAAATAAAAATAAAAAATAATAATAATTTATTTTGTTTCCTAAATTTGGTGCATAATGTCGATTTGACCCTGAGGCAAACGTTGTTCAGTTTATTTTTCTGCATAACATAGTTTTTTTTCGGGTTTGTTTTTTGTTTTTTTTTTTTTTTTTTTTTTTTTTTTTTTTTGTTGGGACCTTCCCTTGTTCTTTCACCGGCTGGCCACCCGGGACCCGGGCGGCCCGGCTGGCAGCGGTTTAAAAAATATTATGTCGTCGACTCGTGATTCACAGGAACTGTTTCAACTGAAACTAGCACGCAAT